GTCATGATCCTGGAGTCCCTGGATCGAGTCCCGCATCGGGCTCCCTGCTCGGCAGGGAGTCTGCTTCTCCCTCTGACCCTCCCGACCCTCCCCCCTCTCATGCTCTCTCTCTGTCTCTCTCTCTCAAATAAATTTAAAAAATTTAAAAAAAAATCTTTAAAAAAAATTAACAGGGATGGATCACACCATCTAATCCGAGGACCCCCACCACCTTTAAAGTGCCAGTAACTGCTCTTTCTTCAAACTGTATATGTTTGAAATTTGTTCCCTACCAATGTGTTATCGCTAAACAAATTTTTGTGTGTGTGGTTTTTTTTGAAAACAAAGATTTTTATTCACATACCTAAGTGGGCCTTCGCAGATTCACAAAATTTTTGTTAATTACAACTAGTTGACACAGACCAATAAAAATAAATACTAAGTCATGCCAACAATGAGCACTGGGGAACTAGGGAATTCAGATTTTCTCCAGTCCGCAACTGCGAGAGGGGACCCTTCCTTACACGGCGCACCCAGACAGAGAGTCTCAAGGGCTCGGTAGTGGGGTGGTTTCCCCCAAAGGATCTCAAGGGGGAAGAAAATGGGTCTTGAAAAGACTCAGACCCTACGCTCTGCTTCATGTGATGTCGGGAACAGTCCGAACTTACTGTGCATTGCTTGTGAGGATAGCACGGGCCGAGCGGGCCAGGGAGGGGCAGGTCTGTCACCTTGGCGCGGGCTCTGGACGAGGCACATCTGGCTGGGGCGTGGCTCCGGACTGTCCCGAGCCCGGAACCCAAGCCCAACGCCCCACGCTGGAACGCAGTCGTTCCTCCCCCCGCCAAAGGAGCCTCTGTGTGATCTTCCCCGTGAACAACAAGCTGATGCTAGCAGAGCCTGGCATTTTCAGTGCCCACCACCACGGTGGGGACAAGGAGTTCCTTTTCATCGACCTGACTTATGTCCCAAGGGAGGGCGAGGTCAGCCCACTCAGCCTGCTGGCCCCCCCTCTTCTTCCCGTTCATGCGAAATGAATTCTGTAGCCACAAGATGCCGAGGGATGGCGGTGGCTTCCTGGGCACGGGGAGGGGGGCTGGCTGTTTCTGGGGCTCGAGGACTCTTGATGGGGGTGGTGGTTGCTCGCATCTGTACGTTTGTCAAAACTCATCATCATTCTGTGACACCCTGCGTATTTTAGGACAGAAGAGTATAGCTCAGGAAATAGGAAGAGTATTGAGAAATGAACACATTCAGTACTTATTTGGAAATGAAAAAAATGCTCCAGAAAATATTCCAGAACTGCTATGAAGAATCTCAACACGGGAGAATAAGGAGCCTTCAAGGTTGCGCATCTCTGAGCTCTGAGAAATGAGCCGGCGACCACAGTGATAACAGATCGAATGCAAACACTGGGCCAAACACCAGAGTCGAGTTGGGACTTGCAGGCTGGCGGTGTGTGAAGAAATACCCAGCCACAAGGAAGAGCTCCGGAGAAGGATGAGTCGCTGGCAGCCATAGCACCAGACAGGGAGGCCGAGAGAGTGGACACCCTGCTCTGGGAGTAGCGGACCCATCATTCTGGGACCCATTCAGGGGCTGGTGCTCCAGCCTCAGGCCCCCTGTCCCCTCTGATGGAAGTCCTGATGCCCAGCCCTGGGCCACCCCCGGGCCCCTGCCTAGCCCCGGGCGGCTGCCCTGCTGTGTGGCCTTGACTGAGAGGCTGCCCCTTTCCAGACCTCAGTGTTCTCCTCTGCAAAATGGGGGTGCTTCAGCCAACACCCCCCCAGGCCAAATGCAACTGCCCAGCCTCCCTCTCTGAGGCCCTAGCTCCCAAACTGCGCCCCCACCTGGGTGCCTCGTGTGGTGGGGAGATGGAGAGTCTGGGAGGCCTGGGGGACAGTCCGGTGGTGGATCAGGTTCTGAGTCTGGGTGTCTCCACCCAAAGGTTCCATTCTCTTCTCTGCCCCAGGCCTCTTCCCCCTGAGGGATGGGGCAGGAGTGGGCGCTGGGAGTGGGGCGGTGCAGGTGGGGAGGAGGGCTGCTGGGCTGCTAGGAGGGGTTTCTGCTCAGCTGTCTCACCCTGCCTCTTCCCTGCCTTCCAGAACCATCTTTCAGCATTCTCCCTCTGCCCCCCCGCCCTTTCCTATCTTGGATTCCTCTTCTGGAGTCTTGGGCTATGGGGGTTGGCAATGAGCCTGGGTGGGGGAGGGCCCCACGGTGCTCTCCTCCACCTGGGTCTGGGTGTGGGTGGGTCCTAGGACACCCCTCCCCCGCCCTCCCTACACCTGAGAGCTAGCTGGGAGAGTGACAGCAGTTCGGGTAGGTGGAACAGGACAGAGCTTTAGAGGAGAGAGGCAGACAGGGACACCTGGGAGAGAGAGAGGGAGCCAGAGGGCCCGGGAGAGGGACCAGGGCACTCACAGGAACAGAAGACACGAGACAGAAACTGCCCTAGAGGAGGGAAGGCAGAGCCCCAGTGACATGGGACCGCCAGCTTGGTGGCTTTGGGCCAAAGGCCTCCCCTCCCTGAGCCTCAGTGTCCTTGGCTGTAGAATGGTGGTGACCGACACCCCTGGCGGCTGGGCTCCAGCTGAGCGCACAGGGAGGTCTCTTGTGCGCAGGCCCGCCCAGAGGCCTCCGAAATGGCACGTGTTGGCATTTTCTATTCCTTCTTTCCCCCGCATTCTCGGAGGGCTTCCCGCATGCCAGGCACTGCCCTAGGCCAGGAATGCAGCGCCGCCCACCAGGCGAACCTGCTGCCCCTCGGAGCCCCTGTCCTGCAGCTGCGGATGCTGCCAGGGTCGGGGGTCTGAACGGGCATGTCGGGGATTGCACCCTCAGCCCTGGGCCGCAGGTCCCAGCCTGGGAGGGAGGCCCGGACACCCAGCCCGCGGCGAGGCCTCTCGGGGCCAAGTCTCCCAAGATAAAATGGGAAAATCCTCTTTTCTCGCTGTCAGGCAGCAGGAAGACAGGACTGGATGGACCCTGGCTCCCCCAGTCCCCTCTGTTCCCCGTATTTCCTTAGGAACTGTTTTTAGGATTATTAGCTCAAAGGAGAGGGGACAGCGCACCTGGGAACCCTCAGGAGTGGAGGGAAGGGACGGGCCCCAGAAAGAAGTTTCTGGGCCAGGTGGCCCCAGGGCCAGGGTCTGTGCCAGGTGTGGGCGGTGGGTGTGGAAATGGGGGGGGGGTGAGTCAGCCTGGCCTGCCACGCCCTGCTTTTATTTAAGGTCCCAGCAGCATCCCCAGCAGCGCCATTGCCCACTGTCCCAGCCATGGCAGGGAGCTCTGTGAGTGGGGCCCTGGGGCTGGGGGGTCTTGGACCCAAGGGTGCACCGGACTCGGGGAGGGGCTGGGCCCGCCTGATGTCCCCTATTTGGAAGGAGAAAGTGGGTGCTAGGGTGTGCTAGGAAATGTCTGGGCTGTGGCTCTTGGGTTGACCCAACCCAACCCAATGCTCCCATCTGCTCTTGGATTCTCTCTCTCTGTGTCTGTTGATTCTGTTTCTCTCCCCACCTCTGCCTGGCTCGGGCTCTCCTCTCTCTCCGTGGCCTTTATTCTCAGTGATTCAGTTGGTCTGGGTCCTGGTCGTTTTCTCTCTGGGGCTGACCCATCTGTCTCTCTCCCCCGCGTCCCTGGGTCCCTTGGACCCCGCACCGCTGGTCCTGCAGAATGTGCCCCACAAGACCTCGCTGCCTGAGGGCATCCGAGTCGGCACCGTGATGAGGATTCGTGGTGTCGTCCCGGACAAGGCTGGCAGGTGAGACCCCAGGCCCCGGCGGTAAGGGTCGGACGTGTGACCCCAACTTTTTCCAGCTCAGACGGGAGAGTGCCAGAGCCACCTATGTCCACCAGGGTCTTGGAGTCCCCAGGCCATCATTGACTTTCTGGAATCCCATGTCTTCACTTACTTGTCCCATGGCTGTGTACAAGCTGGGGTGTCTATGTGGCCCTAGGAATCTGGGGGTTCCAGGGCAATCTCAGGATTCCTGCCTATAGTCCTATGACTCCCAGTCTGAATCCCCAGTCTGAATAAGCTCTGGAAATATGTCCTGTGATCTGGAGGTGGCCTGGGCATCAGGGAAACCCAAGCAATCAGTCCTGAGACTTCCTGGGCCCGGGAACTGTGGGATTTCTGGGAATCTCCGGTGCCTGGAATAATGGGGTCTGTGGTATTGTTCCTAGCCCTCTAGGAATGGGGATACCCTGGGAATGGGGAGTACCCTGGCCATGGGCACCATGACTCATGGCAACCCTTATTAGAGGCTTTGGATATTGAGGGGACCCAAGCCATAGCAGCGTGACCCTCGTGTAGGTGGATGTGTCCGGGGTCCCTCTAAGTTTTTGGATGCCCTGGAATCTGGGTCCTGGCCACCAGTCCACAGCTCTCCTTCTGTGGTGTGTGACATTTCTGGTCTTTTAAATTTGTATGTGCACTGGCAACCCTGAGTCAGGCCCTTTGGCCCCTGAGGTCTATCTGAACCTCCTCCCCACCCCCAACCCCCAGGTTCTATGTGAATCTGCTGTGCAGCGAGGCCCCGGGGAGTGAGGCCGCCCTGCATTTCAATCCCCGCCTGGATGAGTCAGCTGTGGTCTTCAACACTCTGGAGCAGGGCACCTGGGGCCAAGAGGAGCGCGGCTCAGGCATTCCCTTCCAGCACGGGCATCCCTTCGATATGCTCCTCATTGCCACGGAAGAAGGCTTCAAGGTGGGTCCCTGCCACCCCCAGGCGTGGAAGCCAGGGAGGCTGTTGGTGGAGGAGGGCAGCAAAGGCGAGGCCATGCTGGGCAGGGGCTTCCAGCGTCCCCCTGCTTCCCCTGGTGCATCCCCACTGGTGTCCGAAGGCAGGGGTGCGGCAGCGGCAAGGCCCAGCGCGCAAGAGCCAAGTGCCCAGAGGGTGCGGGTCCCCTAGCGGGGCGACGGGGCCCCGGTTTTCTCCCCGACAGTGTGTGAGGCCGAGGCTCTGGGGCAGGGGCGGGGCGGGAGACCGGCCCAGAAACACGCGCCAGCGGGTGGCGGGCGCTGCAGACCCTCCAGCGCCCAGGCCGTGCACCGCTGTCAGCAGCCTGAAAACGCACGTCGGGGCCACCGGTCAGCCCATGGAACGTTCCCGACAGGCGGTTGGAACGATCCTGAGCCCATTTCGCCACCGGGGAGCTCGGGGCCCGGCGTGGTGAGGGAGGGCCCAGGGCCCAGGGCGCGGTCCGAGTCGGGACGGACCCCCGCAGCGGCCTCGGGCACTCCAGCGCGGACCCCCGCCCCCCTGTCCCCGCAGACGGTGGTCGGCGACTCCGAGTACCACCACTTCCGCTACCGGATCCCGCCGGCGCGCGTGCGCCTCGTGGAGGTGGGCGGGGACCTGCAGCTGGATTCCGTGAAGATCTTCTGAGACCCCCGGGAGGGCTGGGGCGCCGGGGTCCCAGCAGTGGCAAATAAAGTTTCAGCCCCCGTCTGTGCGCCTCTGTGTGTCTGCGCCTCCCGCGTGGAGACGCGGAAAGCGGGTGCAGAGGGGCGAAGACTCTGGCGGAGGGTCCCGATTGCGCGGCCCGTGCGGGTCGGGCTGTGTCTTGGCTCGTCTTCCAGTCGCACTTTGCAGAGCAGCCCGGCGGTGTGCGGGTGGGGGGACCCGATGGGGTTCGGAGCGGGCTCGAGCTCCCCTTGGCGCCCCCTGTACGCAGCAACAGAGCTCCATGTGGGTGCATCTGCAAACGGGGGAGCGAGTCCCCACACGCCGGGTCCCCTGGAGAGCCCGAGCTGGCGGAGACGGGGCGAGGACCCGTGTGGGTGCCGGGAGCCGGCTGGCGCGGGGTGGGGCCGGGCCGCGGGTGGGGCGTCGCCCGCCTCCCAGCTGTCCCCGAGTCGGGACAGGCCCCCGCCCGTGCGCCTCGGGGCAGACGCGCACGGGAGCGGCATCTCCCCGCGGAGCGGACGGGGGACACGACGATCAGGCCTCTGGGTCCCCGCTGCGGGCACGCGCCCCACTCCCACACGTCTTCCACCGGGGCTCATGGACGGCGCCGGCCCCCGGCTTCCTGCCCGAGTGCCAACGAGGGGGATCGGGGTATTGGGCACCCACACACAGACGCCCAGTTGCCCCCACCGCTAGGCGGTGCCTTTCTGATCGGTGGGTGGCTGCTCGTCACTTAATGGCTGTGGTTGGAGAGAGGTCGTGACTCCGTGAGCGCGACACTCTTCAGTGGCCGTGTTCCTAATTTTGAGATGGATGGGGTCGGCTGGCAAGGTTCCCTCACTGCGGTTTGGGCCCTGGCGGGGAGTCTCAGGAAAGTCGGAAGCCACGCCCCTGGAGGGATTTGCTTGGGGTTCCGGGCCTGGGATCCCTGCGAGATGTAGGACACGTCGCCTCCCCGTGGCCTCTACCGATGCTGCAATTTCGGCAGTTGGCGTGGGGGCGAGGGTGCATTATCTTGTTTTCCTCTGAAGATGCAAAATTATGTGTGACCTCGAAATCTGGGCGAATTCGAATCCTTCCAAGACTGAACTTTCTCTACAATTCCGAGCTTCAACCCAGAGAAGCCCCTCTTCATTCTGGGCTCTTTGTATATTTCTGGGTGGGCCGTGGCATGAGGGGTCTTCCTCTCCCGGTGGGAGACCTGAGAGAGAAATCTAACATCCATTGCTATACCAGGGCTCTTTGTTAAATGAATTAATTTTTATTTCACTTGTCTGTGTCATGTACTTTTTGAACATTTAAAAAAAAATTGTACCTACCCACAGGGTACAAATTTGGAAAAGGACAGTGAAAGGTAAGACAGTGTTGGCACAACTGGTAAACTAGGTTGGATGATAGTGATTCATCCGTGTTAATTTCCTGATTTTCACTTCTGTCTTACCGTGTATATTGTGGAGACTGTTCATGTTTATACAAAATATTACTACATATTGAGAAAGTATTTGAAGGGCGCCTGGGTGGCTCAGTCGGTTAAGCGTCTGCCTTCCGGTCAGGTCATGATCCCAGAGTCCTGGGATGGAGTCCCACTTTCCAGCTCCGGGCTCAGAGGGGAGCCTGCTTCTCCCTCTTCCTCTGCTGCGCCCCCTGCTTGTGCTCTCTATCTCCTTCTCTCACTCTCTGTCAAATAAAATCTTTTTTTAAACATTTAATATGCCTCAGCTTATCTCTTTTAAAAAAAAGTTTATTTATTTGCCAGAGAGAGAAAGAGAGCACAAGCAGGGGGAGTTGTAGGCAGAGGGAGAAGCAGGCTCCCTGCTGAGCAAGGACCCTGGGATCTGGACCAGAGCTGAAGGCAGAGACTTAACCAACTGAGCCACCCAGGCATCTCTAAATAAATAAAATAAGATAGAGAGAGAAGAAAGAAAGAAAGAAAGAAAGAAAGAAAGAAAGAAAGAAAGAAAGAAAGAAAGAAAGAAAGAAAGAAGAAAGGAAGGAAGAAAGGAAGGAAAGAAAAGAAAAGAAGGAAGAAAAGAAAAGAAAAAGAAGAAAGAATTTGAAAGTGAAGAGGCAGCATGTTGGCAACTTACTCATAAGCAGCTCAGGAAAAATTAAACTTTGTGTTGTACTTAAAACTTCCTGTTTGTCATTTCAAATAAATATAGATAAACCATTTGAGTTCATTTTTGTGTATGTTGTGAAATTGGGGCTCAACTTTATTTTTTTGCACATGGATTTCCAGTTGAAAGGACTGTTCTTTCCTCATTGCATTGTCTTGACACACTCATCGATATTTAATTGATCATAGGTGTATGTATTTATTTCTGGACCTTCAATTCTATTCCATTTATCTACATGTCTGTCCTTATCCCAATATCACCGTCTTGATTACTGTGATTTTGAAATTGGAAACTTTGAGTCCTTTAACTTTTTTCTTTTTCAAAATTGTTTTGTATATTTTTCCAAATAAACTTCAGAATTACCTTGTCAGCTTCTCAAAAAAAAAAAAAATCAGCTGTGATTTTGATAGGTATTGTATTGAAACGGTAGATTAATTTGGGGAGTATTGCCATCTTAACAATATAAAGTCTTTGAATCCATGAACATGGGATATCTTCCCATTTACTGAGATCTTCTTTAATTTCTTTCAATAATAGTTTGTAATTTTCAGTGTACAACAGTGCCTGTATCCATTTTATTGCTTCTCTAAGTCTCTAATTTATTTACTTTTGTGTTTATTTTTTTCCACCTATTTTGTTTTATTTAAAAACTTACATATGGGGCGCCTGGGCGGCTCAGTTGTTAGGCGTCTGCCTTCGGCTCGGGTCATGATCCCAGGTTCCTGGGATCCTGCTTGGCGGGGAGCCTGCTTCTCCCTCTCCCACTCCCCCTGTTTGTGTTCCCTCTCTCGCTGTGTCTCTGTCAAATAAATAAATAAAATCTTTAAAAAAAAAACAAGCTTACATATATTTAGTTTACTGCTTGATGCTTTCTTATTTAATAACAAAATAATTTAAGTCTATTAACATATCTCTGAGTATAATATATTCTGACAATAGTGTTTTAATTATATGCATTGTTTTGTAGATAGTCTGTAATTATTCTCTCTTCACCTATGGAAGTTATAAGTGTTTTTAAGTTTCTGAATTTTGTCAGATTTCTGCTTTTCTAATTTTTGCTAATTTCTAATTCTATTGCAATCACTATATGTGTTACATCTCCTTTATATCTTATTACAATGTCTAATATTTCCAGAATGATAGTGAGGGTAGCCATATTGTCTTTTCCTGATTGTAATTGGAATTTATCTATTGTTAACAAATCCCTATACAATGCTTGTTCTTTTCTTTCTTTTTTTTTTTTTTTTTTTTTTCTTTTTTAAAGTAATCTCTGCACCCAACTTGGGCTCGAACTCATGGCCCCGAGATCAAGAGTCACATGTTCCACTGACTGAGCCAGCTAGGTGCCCCTGCTTATTTTATTATTTTTTTAAATTTGAGATAGAGAGAGCACAGGCAAGCAGGGGGAGGGGTAGAGGGAGAGGGAGAGAGAATCTTGAGCAGACTCCCTACTGAGCACGGAGCCTGGAGCCCACATGGGGCTCAATCTATCAACCCTGAGATCTTGACCTAAGTGGAAACCAAGAGTCAGCCACCCAACAGATTGAACCACCCAGGCGCCTCTGCTTGTTATTTATTTATTTATTTTTTAATCAAAAAAAAATATGCGAGAACCTAAGAGGAAGGCGGTCCGCCCCAGCTTCATCCCCACTCTCCCCGGATTCTGTCGCATTCGCGTGACTGGAACGGTGGGGCCGACGCGCAGGCCGGGCCGGCCTGGGCCCGGCACCCAGTCCAGCCGCCCGCCCCTCCCGGAAGGCCGCCCCTCTCGGCCAGGGCAGAGGGGGAGGGGACCCGGGGGCCCGCACGCACCTGAAGAGCGGCCCGAGTTGCAGCAGGTGCAGCAGCAGCACGAGCGGGCGGTCGCGGCTGAAGTCGCGGTGCACGAAGAGGAGCGTGAGCTGCACGAGCGCGCAGGGCAGCAGCGAGAAAAGCAGCGTCAGCGCCTGCCACATGCCGTCCCCGCCCGAGCGGTAGGTGCTGCTCAGGTACAGCGCCGCCGTCGTCTCGGCCACGAACAGGAACACGGACGCCAGCACGGAGCCCGGGAATTTCATCTCCGCGCGTCAGCGGCGCGCACCGGCGGCAGACAGGCGGGCGGCGGCGGCGGCTGCCCGGGCCGCCCAGCTCGCTGTCGTCCAGCAGCACGCTCTCCAGCACGCTCCGCAGCGAGCGCCGCAGCTTGTGCAGCACGTCGGGGCACGTGAGCACGTAGAGCAGCGGGTTCACCACGCTGTTGATGAAGGCCAGGCTGGTGACGAAGGGCAGGCCGCGCCACACGAGCGGCCGCAGCGCGGGCTCGGCGTGTGCGCGCGCCTCCAGCAGGCTGAACACGTGGTAGGGCCCCCAGCAGAGCGCGAAGGCCACCACCACGGCCGCCACCAGGCGCACGAAGCGGCTGGGCCGCCGGCGGCCGCGGTGGTGCAGCTGCGCGCTCACGACCGCGTGGCTCGAGGCGATGATGGCCAGCGGCACGACGAAGGCCAGCAGGAACTTGCTGATGGCCAGGGCCGCCTGGCGCGAGTTGCACGTGGCGTCGCGGTCGGGCCCGGGGCTCAGGAGCAGCACGTTGTAGTAGCACATGATGCGGCCGTCGAGCCGCTGGATGGTGTCCCGGAACACGTAGTAGGGCACGGTGTTGAGCACGGCCAGGGCCCAGAGCCCCAGGCAGACCCTGTGGGCCGCGGCCACCGTGCGGTGGTTCTGCGCCCACACGGGCCGCACCACCTGCAGGCAGCGGTCCAGGCTGATGGCGCTCAGCAGGAAGCCGCTGGCGAACATGTTGAGGAAGAAGATGGAGGAGTGCAGCTTGCAGAAGGTGGTGCCCAGCTCCCACGAGTGGCCCACGGCCAGGAAGTAAGTGAAGAAGGGCAGGGTGGCGGTGGCCAGCAGGTCCGACAGTGCCAGGTGCAGCACCCAGGTGGTGACCACGGTCTGGCGCATGCGGCAGCCCACCACGAAGAGGATGAGCCCGTTCTCCGCCAGGCCCAGCAGCGAGGCCAGCCCGTGCAGCAGCACTGAGGCGTGGTCCATGTAGCGGATGCTGGAGTTGCTGTGACTTTGGATGTGGCTCATCTGCTCCAGGATCGGGCAGAGCGGCTTCAGGGTGACGTTGGCCGACATGGTGAGCTCTGCGGTGGAGAGAAGGAGGCGCTGAGGTAGGCTGGGCAGGGGCAGCCAGGGACCCTCCCCAGGAGATGGGAATCTGTCCCGTGAATGGTACGGATGACGCCGAGGGGGATCAGTGAAGTTGAGCAAAGACAGTACGGTGGGGGGAATAGCATCCCAGCTGCACCCCTGCTCATGGCAACCTTGGGCGAGCCACTTAAGCTTCCTGAGCTTGTTTCCTCCTCTGTGACGCGGATGTCAGTCGCAACAGGACCTAGATCCTACAGCTGTTGGTAGTGTTCAATGAGTTTACATATATAAGCGTTTAGAGCGGAGCCCGGCGTGCAGGAAGCACTACAGTATCCGTGTTGTGATTATTATTCTGCAGGTCCCCTGGGGTCACATGGAGAAACAGAAACAAGGCCAGGCCATGCAGGACTCCTTTCCCCATTCCCAGGGCACTGGGGCACCTATGGAGGTCCCACAACACTGGCAGGTTGGGTGTGTTGACCTTGAACAGTGGAGCCGGCCCCTCCTTTGGTAGTTGGAGAGGAAATAAGATAAGAGCAAGGAGAGAGCTGGGCATGAGGAACTACCAGACTGGGGCCCTGGAGGCCCAATGGGGCTGGAGGACTGTTCCGCTGCCCAGGGGGCAGCCAAACCCATCTGCCTGCCCGGGAAAACCCAGCCTGCTTATTTATTTGCTCAGTGATGCACTCATTGAGCAGATAGTCATTGAGCAACTTCTCAGGTAAGTGCTGTGGAAGCCAACCTCTGGCAGATGTGCAGACACCCCAGATGTGCAGACCCACAGCCTCATCGAAAGCCCGAGACCACCTGAAGTGAAGCTGGTTGAGATGGGGGAGGGGTGGGAGGCTGCCGACAGGAGGTAGGGGACAGGGAGCGGGGTTTGGGGACTCAGATTGTCCTGGGGCCCCCCTGTGCGCCCGAGACCCCGAGAGGCCCTTTACATAGGTGCTCTCTTGCTCAGGACTCGAGAAGAAAGGCGCTAGAATTTCACTCCATCCCATTTTACAGGGGAGGAAACTGAGGCCTTAGCCACGCACATAACACCGACAAGTGGAGCTGCAACAGTTTAGCGCTCAGCCCGTTCTCTTTCCCATGCCTCTGCTGTAAGCAAGCGTTGATGGAGGAAGAAGGGAGGGAAGTGGGGGGGTGATCCTCAGCACTCACATTTCCAGGGGGAACGCTGTTGGCCAGGATGAGAAAATCCACACTCTTCTCCAGGTACCACGGTCCTTTGTGAGGTGCAGCCCCAGGACATCAAACTAGAGTTTTCCAAGCAGACGAGCCCTTGGAGCTGGGGATCGCAGGGAGGTGGGTGGGGAGCAGTTGGGCCCGTGCTCCCCGGGAATGCCCATGCTTCCCAAGCGTTAGAGTTTGCCGAGAAACTGCACTCACAGTGACCCTGTGAGACCCCATTATTCAGAAGAGGAAACTGAGGCTCAGAGAAGCATAGCAATGTGCCCAACGTTGCTCAACTGCAGTGGTGCCGCTGGGACTCCACCCAGCAGACAGATGAGTGCCATCCCCTCTCTGCACTGAAACGTTCCCTTCAGTCCAGCAGCCTCTTGGCCAGGTCCCTTGGGGATGCTCAGAGAGCACAACCCTGCTATCCCAGGGAACCCATCGGGTTTGGGCTTTCTGGCTGCATGGAGCCGGCACCCAGCCTCCTGGGATTCTCAGGGACCCCGGCAGCTAGGGTCCTGCTCTGGTGGGGGTTGGGGCAGAGAAGGCAAACTTTTAGGGGCAGTTACCCTAAGACTGCTCCTCTAATCACCCCCCTTCCCCCTGCCCCAGATTGCTTGTGAGTATGGAGAGAGGCTTCTGTGGTTCACCACTGTGCCTGGCTTCTAGTGCCTTCCCTTCTGCGAGCAGCTCGTCCCCTCCAGTCTTTGGTAAACCCACCCCTCTGCCTAGTCGTTAGGAGCCTGTCCCCTGGTGAAACTGGACCTTCCTTTGTGGGTCCAGAGAGGGCACCGAGGCTGCCCAGCCCCTGGGCTATTGCTCGCTTACCTGGGCAAAGAAGGAACACAGGATTCCCGCACTGGGGACAGTCAGCTCCGAGTGGCAGCCTGCCGAGGAGGCACCGCACGGGGCAGGCGGAGGCAGGCGAGTGAGGCTGAGGGAGGAAATGTCTATCCGCCCCAGAGTGTGTGTCTGTGTGTGTGTGTGTCTATGTCTGTGTGTGTTCAGGGGTGGGGTTGGGGGAGGCGGGGACAGCCAGAGGGTGAGTCGCCCCAGTGGTATTCTGTAATAGTCGTCTCCATCAGTGAGAAAGGGACAAAATTGCTGGCAGCCCCTCCCCCCCTCCCCTTCCCCCCGGAGATTTTGCAGGAGCCCCGGGTCCCTGCAAGCGCAGGTGGGGGAATGGGAGTGTGCCTCTGGGGCTGCGTTTGAGGGCGACCGCTGTGTAGGAGAGGTCCGCGAGGGAGAGGACATCTCGTGCATGGGTCCACTGTCCTGGGGTGCCCTCTCCTGACCCCATAATCCTCAGGCAGGCAGGGTGCAGGCAGTGGGAAGAGCAGAGGCCAGGCTGTCCCCCTGCAGCCCTGGGGAGGGGGGCAAGCCCTTGCCCCTGGTTTTGCCGTCTGCGAGCCAAGCCTCAGCGCCACACCTTCATTCACAGAGTGCCAGGCACACAGTAGGTGCTCGGAGAAATCAGTCCTTTTCTCTTCCGGGTAGGGATGGGTAGAGACTGCAGGGCAAGGGCTGGGCAGCTTTTATTTAAAATGCACCTGGAGCCCTGCAACGAGCTAATGGAACTTCATGAGTTTGCATTTAATGGTTCCCCAAGTCTTTGCTGACCAAGTGTCCTAGGGTCAAACTCCGCATCCTTGCACCTAAGAAGTGCTCAGTAAAACACGTGTAAAAACTCCCATATCAAGGCAAGGGCACCCCCACCCATGGGATTGACTGTACAGGACTCTTCCATTTAGACACAGGCTCCGTCGCAGGGCCTGGCACTTAATAATCTTGCGGGAAGCCTGCGATCCCGAGTGAAGAATGTCTAAAATACTGTGACCTTGTGATGGGGATAATATTTTTCTCTGCAGCCCAAGATGGCAGATCAGTAAACGACTTGATTATCCAAAATATTAGCGTGGGCAATTCTCCTTTCCTGTAGGTCACGGAGGGCCTGGTCTTCCAAAGACAAGTGCCTGCACCCCTCCCTAAGAAACAGGCAGATGTCTCCTTTCTGCTTTGGGGAAAGTCCCCCCATCCCCACCCACCCCCAGCCCCAACGTGCTGGCCCGCGGCCATCCTCCGAGGGCATGCCGGCAGGGTAGTGTGGTGGGTGAGCTCAGGGACTCTGCGGCTGGATCCAGCACTGCCACTCCCAAGCTATGTGACCTTGGGCAAATAACCTCACAGCAGGAAAGTAGGGTTTTTAAGAGGGACTCCTTCTGCACAGCCCCTGGTCAGAGTGCAAGGATTGGTGTGCACAGACTGCTCCTGGGGCTAAGAAAGAATCCCCCCTTCCCTCCTGTAGACACATTTTGACAGGGGAGCATCAGGCTTGAGCCTCCTCCTTCGGGACCTCAGCCCTCCCTTGCCTCCTCCAGGAGGTACCCTTGTGCAGTGAACATCCTGCACAACCTCTCACGGCGGCCCTGCTAAGGGGCTTCTTACCTGAAACCCTGCCTCCTCAGACCTTTCCCCCAACCCCTGTTTCCAATCCTGTAATCACAGTGGAGGCTCCTCCCAACCCTCCCTGAGGACAATTTATGAAAAGTTGCTAAAACAAACAAAAAAGTAGTCCAGATGGGCAGGGCCCTAAGATTTTCTAAAGAAGAAGACAGTGACGTTTGTTCTTGCGGGGGCGGGGGGGGGGGCGGGGGAGGCCTCGACTGCCCTCCCACAGTGGAGACGGACCTCTCGGCACGTATTCCCCAGTGCCACAGTCCCTCGGCCCCTAGGCGTGGGACGCTGGGGCTGGTGGGGGGGAGGCAAGAGCGTCAGGAACCAGGAGCCAGCGTCTGCCCCTCGGAGAGAGCCTTGGGAGCAGACAGGAACAGAAGGAGCCTTAAGGGGGCTCGCTGGCTGGAAGCAGAGGGCAGGGAGCCTCCAGTGACCAGGCGTCAAGAGCTCAGACCAAGTTTAGAAATTAGAGGACCCTTAGGGGAGCCCTCCCCAGGGTTGGGCTGGGATCTTCAGGAAGAGGACGCCAAGACTGCCGATGGGCCTTCACGGAGGGGAGAGTCCGGGGGAGGGTGACTGGGGCCTTTGGGAAGGGCCTAAAACCATACAGACCAGCGACTCTCAGCTGAGTGCACATCGGGACCTCCCAGGGGGGCTGGTCAGACCCAGGCTGCTGGGCCTCTCCCCCAGCAGGTCTGGGGTGCAGCCTGGGCATTTGCATTTCCATCAGGTTCCCTAGCAGATCCCCGTGCTGCTGCTTCTGGGGGCACAGAGGACGCTGACCCACTGGAAAGGAGAGTCGGGGTCCTTGGGCCTGGGGTGCTCGGAGCAGGGGGCAGCAGCTCTATCTGGAAGAGAGTGCTTAGCTGAGGGGCTTCCCCCAAGGCCTCCCCTCCCTGCTGTGGGGGTCCGAGGAGAGAGTGAGCCCAGCGCTCGGCTCAGAGCCGGCCGCCGAGTGACGATGCAAAAACCAGCTGCCTCTTACTTAGTTATTTTTAGTGCGGTGCATTTCCATGTCAACCTCTTCCTGACTCCAGATGTTGCACTTGCCTTTTCCAGTCGCATATTTGCCGAAAACCTTATTTTGGAAGCCCATGAAGGCCCTACCATAAGAGGGCACAGGATCCCACAGAATCCCAGGAGCGTCAAGCCCCTGCTCCAGAGTCGAAGTAGGTTCATCACTTGTTGCCGTCCGCAGTGATGCTGACATGGACGTCAGCGAGGTGTGCCTTGCCAGACAGAACGTGCGGGAGCCAGGGAAGAGAGAGAGCCTTGCTCACGGCTGGCGGTGCCTCAGGGACCCACCTGCAGGGTTTAGAGATTAAGGAGCCTCAGGCCCAGGGAAGCTGGTGTCCCTACCTGAAGAGTGGGGATGTGGCTGCCCACAGGGACACTTCAGCCTGGCTTCTCTGAGCACTGGGATGAATCCCTGGGGGAGTGGGGGGGCCCATCTTCAGCCCAGCCCTGCCTGTCCAGGGACCCCCCCGCCCGCACCCCCCCGGGCACAGGCCCGGTCCCTGAAGCACAAGCTTCTCTGTGGCCTGAAACTCGCTGTCACAGCCAGCAAGAGCAGAAGTCGGGTCCATCTCTGCGTCAGCCTCAGCTACCCCAGGCAGGAAGACAAATCGGAGCCTAGCAGACCGCCGCTGGGTCTCTGTGGCCTGTGGGAGCTGTGCAGACCTCACTCGGATCCAGTGCACCGCCTGCAAGTGCCTGCACCTTTCCCCATGTCCCCAGCTTCCCCATCCTCTTCACCTACCCCAGTGCCTTTGCATGGCTACTACCTGGAATGCCCTTGCCCCTCGCCTGCCCATCCTGCAGGCCCACTTTCCCAGACCCTGAGTGTCTCGGGCTCCCAAGAAGATGTTTAGCACATCATCTGTGTTTAACCAACGGTCCAGGGAGTGGGCCCCAAGGGAAAGTGTCCCCCAGCTTCTTCCCAGTTTCTCCCCAGTTTTCTCCCTCTGCTCCTGCCTTAGGAAGTAGGTTTCTGTTTTTCCTTTCTGACCTTTTTACAGAAGTTAATCAAAGAGGAAGTGAGACGCACAGCAGGAAGCAGGGAGGACCTGCCCTAAGATCCACCAAGGCTCACGGCACCCCAGCTAGGTTGATCTTGTTCTTAATTCCATTCTATAGATTAAGAAATTTGAAACCCCATTTTATTTTTTTTTTAAGATTTTATTTATTTCTTTGTCAGAGAGAGAGAGAGAGCAGCAGGCAGAGGGAGAAGCAGGCTCCCCGCTGAGCAGGGAGCCAGATGTGAGACTCGATCCCAGGACCCTGGGATCATGACCTGAGCTGAAGGCAGACGCTTAACCGTCTGAGCCACCCAGGCGTCCCAGAAGCCCCATTTTAAAAAGATAAAAAAGAAATTTAAAAGGTTGGAGATGAACAAACAGGTTTAGAAAGAGGTGAAGTGGGAAGCCAAGACCCCAAGTCAGGTCACTCTGATTTGACCCTCTTTCCTCAGCAGTGAAAACAATCCGTGGCTTTTATTGCTCTTGCGTCCAAGCGATGCAGACTCTCTCCATGCTGTCCGTGGGTCCCCTTATTCATCTTCACAGCAAGCCTACAAGTTAGGCACTGTTACTGGCCCCATTATACAGATGAGAAAATCGAGTCAGTGAGTGGGTAAGTGATTTTTCTAAGGTCTCTGGTGGTGGAGTGGGGGAGCCGGCGTCCTTTCCAGGCTGGTGCCTGTGGGATTTTGCAAGAACTAGAATCATAACCAAGGGCTCAGGGCTCTGTCTCTCGGGCCAGTTTAGCACAACTTTTCTCAAGGGCATCCTTCTGCCCTTAGCGATGAGGAAGTTCCCTTGCTCTTTTCCTGCCTGTCCAGGGCCTTGGGAGACACCCTGCCGTCATGCATATGGACCTCTCTGTGTATCTCATTCCATACCCACCATCATCATGCCCATCCTTGCTTTACAGAGGGGAGAGGTCCTTTCGCCCCTGAGCAGCAAGTGCAGGATAGAATCCAGGCTCTCAGCTCCTCCGGCCGGGGCTCTCTCCGCCATCTGAACTGTCCCCCCTTCCCCTCGGGGACAGCTCTCTGTTACAGCAGGAGGCAAACACATGTGGAGGGAATGATGGAGCAGGGAAACCACCACCCCTGGGTGAAGGTTTGCTGAGGGGGAGCAGGACAGTCGCATACAGGAGTCTCCAAGGGTCTCCCCATCAAGGACTTCCTGTGTCCGAAGAGAAACAGTAACTTAGCAGCAGACTGGGCTCTTCCTGCCTGGGATGGGCTGAATGGTGCCCCCCATTCGTATGCAGGAGCCCGAACCCCCAGCACCACCAAATGCAGCTGTATCTGTAGGCAGGGCCTTTAAGGGGTGATTACGTTACAGTGAGCCTGTAAGGATGGGCTCTAATCCAAGCTGACCGGTGTCCTTACAAGAAGAGAAAACATGGACCCACAGAGCCAGGGGAGATGTGCACACAGAGGAAAGACCACGTGAGGACACAGGGAGAAGGTGGCCATCTCAAGCCA